GCGGGTGCCCGGGCCCTGCGCCTTCCGCGGTTCTCTCACCCTGCCCGCCGTCGACCTCTCTTGGCCAAAGGGTTAAGTCTCAGGGAGAGGAGCGGGCTCCCGGCTACCACACCCGCGCCTTGCAGGGCAGCTGTGCCCGGCGACCTCCACCTGAGGTCGGGAAACGGGCTGCGCCTAGCGGCTCCCATGGGACCCCCTTTCCCGCAGCCGACCCGCAGCCTTCACCCCGCTGCCCGCGGCCGCTGCTCGGAGCATTGCAGTGCGGACGCCTTGTCCCCTCGCGGGCCTCTCCTGTATATATCAGAGCGCGGAGTCCGGCAGGGGAAAGGAACGGAAAGACAGTTGTGAAGTTGCCTTGACCTGCGCATTGGGGTCTCTTGGTAGCCGTCTGCAGGACTGGGCCGTAGACATGTGCCCTGCGCCCTGGACGAGGGCTGCCCATGTGGAGGTGCGCTCCGCAGGCGTGATCCGTATCGGGCCCAGACGCGGCCGCCTGGCGTCGGTGGGTGTGGGAGACGTGGGGACAGCTTTCTTACAACGTCAGTGCGCGCAGAAGACCTGGCCAAGAGGGGCGGCCCACCCGCTGCTTGTCCAGGTGATAGTGCTGATAATCTCAATTGCTAATGATGGAGTGCGGTTGTACTAAGTGCTTTCTATACATTACCTCATTTAATCCATCCTCCCTGATACAAAGAGATCACTGTTGTAAAGATGACAAAATGAAGGTTTAGAGAATAATATGCCTCAGATCATACAAGTAATAAACGGCAGAGAGAGCTCTGACTTGGACTGAGGTCTGTCTGACTCCCTGTGATCACTGCTGCCCTGCCCTAATAACACACTCATTATCACGGCCACAGACCATAACTCTAGCCACAGTCATAGTTGTCTTCCCGGCCATAGTGTTCTGGACCTTAAAGCTTTCCTCTATTTCATTTATATATTTCCTTATATTTTTATGCTACCTTGTCCTTAAAACAGAATTCAAGATAGCTTACAAGAGCACATAACCTACAAAAAGAAGTGTGTGAAATGAAAAATAAGGCACAGAAGATGGAGCCAAAAATGAACATCATTTGAAATAAATGCATCTCATAGAGTCCAATACCCTTGCTAGAGTAGGACCAAAATTTGTCTCCTGCATTTCTAGCAGTCAAGTTTAAAGAGAGGCCTTGTCTAAAGTGCAATTCCTATCACATGCAAGACCAAAAACAAAATTGCTCAAGAGAAGATCCCCCTTTCTTGATACTGAGACCAGCAAGAAATTTCTCCAGAGAATCCTCATGAACCCTGGGTGATATAAAGAACCAAGTCCTCAGTCACAGCCACAGATGCAGAAGGGGCAGGTGAATGTCAGGAGAATATTAAATAATGACACCCTTCGTCACTCACTGGGTCTAAGGCTCAAACATTTTTAGTGTTATCTATTATACAGCCTTCCTCATGCAAGCCCTACAACCTAAAGAAACAAGGTGGCAGATGTCTGAGGACGATAAAGATTCGTATCTATATATAAGTCTATCTGTCTATCTCCCAGCAGTCCTAAGTGTGCAGTCTTCGACTTTTTTCACAGAGATCTTCTCATTCTTGGGTAAACAATTACTTTTCACTGACCCCTCTACTCCAGAATGAGCTCTTTACCACTCTCTTCACTAATACTTAAATCTATAATATTTACACTTTCAATTGCCACGTAATATTCCGTGTCCCTGTCTTACCTCCACAACTAAACTAAATTTTCCGAGGTCAAGAATCAGGTCTTTTGCTTCTTTAGCTTCCACAGCTGCCAGCTTGAGGCAGTACATGTGGGACATTACTAATAAACTGCTGTGGATTTGATTTTGAAAAGCAGAATGTGCTGACCTCAAAGAAGAAAATAAGATCCTTCCTGATTATTTCTGGAGAAAGGGTTTCAGTGTTTCTTTGAAGTCCCCTGTCTATGGCAGGAGTGACAAGGTTAATGGCACTGTCCCCGGTGGCTTTCATGGGATCCCCATCACGGGTTATCCGATGCTGTCAGTATTTCTCTATTGCTTCGCCCTTGTAAATAGAACCCCTTCCATGCCATTCATTGCACTGAGTCTTTGGACAGCAAAATCTTTGTGTGTGGCAGGGGAATAATCCGGCCTTATACTGCATATGCATAGGTATGTATGCCAAATGGATGCCTTTCTGTAAATGCATCACTATATTTATATGTAAATATACATATATGCATAATACTAAATGCACACGTAGGCAGTTACATCTACACACCTACAGTCCCTGTATATACAAATGGTTGAAATCGAGGTTATTAATTCATTCAATACATGAGTCTTGCTGAGTTTTCTAAAGAAAGAGGCCTACATATGCCCAGCGAGTGTTTTTCTCTTGAACTTTCTGAGAACTCTGCACTTCATGTCCATCTGATTCTGCTTCTGGACCCCTTCGAGCTCTTTTTTGAGATTTTCTGGCTACTCCTACCTGAGCAATAAGTCTTTTCCAAACATCTAAAAAATAAGAAGTTTGTCTGTGTCTCTTTTCATCATCGGCCACATGATTAGTCTCCCTGGTGTTATATGAGGCACCTCTGACCTCAAGAACAAATTTCTTTTTTTTTTCCCCCACAAAATACATCATTTAATATAACATTCTTGTAAGGTAGCTAATGAGGATAATATTCATGCTTTTTAAAAAATTATTATACTTTAAGTTCTGGGATACATGTGCAGAACGTCCAGGTTTGTTACCTAGGTATACACATGCCACGATGGTTTGCTGCACCCATCAACCCATCATCTACATTAGGTATTTCTCCTAATGCTATCCTCCCCCAACTGCCCCCCCATCACGGACAGGCCCCAGTGTGTGCCTCCCTTTGTCCATCTGTTCTCATTGTTCAACTCCCACTTATGAGTGAGAACATGTGGTGTTTGGTTTTCAGTTCCTGTGTTAGTTGGCTGAGAATAATGGCTTCCAGCTTCATCCATGTCCCCACAGAGGACATGAACTCATCCTTTTTTATGGCTTCATAGTATTCTGTGGTATATATGTGCCACATTTTCTTTATCCAGTCTATCATTGATGGGCATTTGGATTCATTCCAAGTCTTTGCTATTGTGAACAGTGCTGCAGTAAACATACATGTGCATGTGCCTTTATAGGAGAATGAGTTATAATCCTTTGGATATATACCCCAGTAATGGGATTGCTGGGCCAAATGGTATTTCTGGTTCTAAATCCTTGAGGAATTGCCACACTGTCTTCCACAATGGTTGTACTAATTACACTCCCACCAACACTGTAAAAGCATTCCCATTTCTCCACATCCTCTCCAGCATCTGTTGTTTCCTGACTTTTTAATGATCGCTGTTCTAACTGGCGTGAAATGATATCGCACTGCAGTTTTGATTTGCATTACTCTAATGACCAGTGATGACGAGCTTTTTTTCATATGTTTCTTGGCCACATAAATGTCTTTTGAGAAGTGTCTGTTCATGTCCTTTGCCCATGTTTTGATGGGATTGTTTTTTCTTGTAAATTTGTTTAAGTTCTTTGTAGATTCTGGATACTAGCCCTTTGTCAGATGGGTAGACTGCAAAAATTTTCTCCCATTCTGTAGGTTGTCTGTTTACTCGGATGATATTTTCTTTTGCTGTGCAGAAGCTCTTTAGTTTAATTGGATCCCATTGGTCAATTTTGGCTTTTGTTGCCATTGCTTTTGGTGTTTTAGTCATGAAGTCCTTGCCCATGCCTATATCCTGAATGGTATTGCCTACGTTTTCTTCTAGCATTTTTATGGTTTTAGGTCTTACATTTAAGTCTTTAATCCATCTTGAGTTGATTTTTGTATAAGGTATAAGAAAGGGGTCCAGTTTCAGCTTTCTGCATATGGCTAGCCAGTTTTCCCTACACCATTTATTAAATAGCGAATCCTTTCCTCATTGTTTTTGTCAAGTTTGTCAAAGATCAGATGGTTGTAGATGTGTAGTGTTATTTCTGAGGCCTCTGTTCTGTTCCATTGGTCTATATATCTGTTTTGGTACCAGTACCATGCTGTTTTGGTTACTATAGCCTTGTAGTATAGTTTGAAGTCAGGTAGCATGATGCCTCCAGCTTTGTTCTTTTGGCTTAGGATTGTCTTCGCTATACAGGCTCTTTTTTGCTTCCATATGAAATTTATAGTAGGTGTTTCTAATTTTGTGAAGAAAGTCAGTGGTAGCTTGATGGGGACAGCAATGAATCTATAAATTACTTTGCGCAGTATGGCCATTTTCACAATATTGATTCTTCCTATCCATGAGCATGGAATGTTTTTCCATTTGTTTGTGTCCTCTTCTATTTCATTGAGCAGTGGTTTGTAGTTCTCCTTGAAGAGGTCCTTCACATCCCTTGTAAGATGGATTCCTAGGCATTTTATTCTCTTGGTAGCAATTGTGAATGGGAGTTTACTCATGATTTGGCTCTCTGTCTATCATTGGTGTATAGGAATGCTTGTGATTTTTGCACATTGATTTTTATATCCTGAGACTTTGCTGAAGTTGCTTATTAGCTTAAGGAGATTTGGGGCTGAGATGATGGGGTTTTCTAAATATACAATCATGTCATCTGCAAACAGAGCAATTCGACTTCCCCTCTTCCTGTTTGAATACTTTATTTATTTCTCTTGTGTGATTGCCCTGGCCAGAGCTTCCAATACTATGTTGAATAGGAGTGGTGAGAGAGGGCATCCTTGTCATGTGCTGGTTTTCAAAGGGAATGCTTCCAGCTTTTGCCCATTTGGTATGATATTGACTGTGGGCTTGTCATGAATAGCTCTTATTATTTTAAGATACATTCCATCAATACCTAGTTTATTGAGAGTTTTTAGCATGAAGTAGTGTTGAACTGTATTGAAGGTCTTTTCTGCATCCATTGAGATAATTGTGTGGTTTTTGTCATTGGTTCTGTTTATGTGATGGATTACATTTATTGATTTGCATATATTGAACCAGCCTTGCATCCCGGGGATAAAGCCAACTTGATTGTGGTGGATAAGCTTTTTGATGTGCTGCTGGATTCTGTTTGCCAGGATTTTATGGAGCATTTTCAAACTGATGTTCATCAGGGATATTGGCCTGAAATTTTCTTTTTTTTGGTGTGTGTCTCTGCCAGTTTTGGTATCAGGATGATGCTGGCCTGATAAAATGAGGTAGGGAGGAGTCCCTGTTTTTCTATTGTTTGAAACAGTTTCAGAAGGAATGTACCAGCTCCTCTTTGTACCTCTGATAGAATTTGGCTGTGAATCCATCTCATCCTGGGCTCTTTTTTTGGTTGCTAGCTTATTAATTACTGCCTCAATTTCAGAACTTGTTATTGGTCTATTCAGGGATTTGACTTCTTCCTGGTTTAGTCTTGGGAGGGTGTATGTGTCCAGGAATTTATCCATTTCTTCTAGTTTATTTGCGTAGAAGTATTTATAGTATTCTTTGATGGTACTTTGTATTTCTGTGGTATCAATGATGATATCTCCTTTATCATTTATTGTGTCTATTTGATTCTTCTCTCTTTTCTTCTTTATTAATCTGGCTAGTGGTCTATTTTGTTGATCTTTTCAAAAAACCAGCTCCTGGATTCACTACATTTTTGAAGGGTTT